GTAAGACATGATTAGTAGGATAACATGTTCAACTGGTGGCGGGTCAAGAGGTTGATGGCCTAGTTTTAGTAATGTCGCTCTAATGTGGCATGGTAGTTGTATAGGCGTTTGACTAGTGATTAAGGTTATTTTGTGTATAATGATGTAGTTTATGTAGATAGTATAAATGTATAAAGTATGTATGTAATTTTTTAAGGGGATTTATATTTTAAGTTGATTCTATTTTTTACACTATACATGTATATTTTGCATTCATTTTCTACATTATACATGTATATTTTGCATTCAAATAATTATTGCATAAAAGTTTAGGATAGCCGATTATAGTGTTGTATTCTGATGCATAGTATTATATTATATTAAATATTGTAACCTATTAAACCGTTACAAAATCCTTGTTATAGAAACTTAGAAAAAATATTATTGAATAATAGTATCTATGTAACTTTTATTATTAACTAGTTTAGTGCATGGATAATTAAGGTGTGTATTTTTTTTATAAGGTCCTAACTTTTATGATACTTTTATTAATTTTTAAAAGATCCCACTTAAGAATTTGTTTTTAGTATGACTACAAAATAATTTTTTTAACAAAAAATTTAGACTAATAAATATGACACGACATTATATAAGATCACAATCAATTATATATATATATATATATATAATTTTTTATTTAGAAAACATACAATTGTTTTTTTTTTTTAAATAACTATGTATGTGTAAAATAACAACTATATTTGATATTTGTAAAAAATAAGAAAAATAAATATACATAGACTATTACATCATATTTTAAATAGTTAAAATTAAAAAAATTACACAACTTTTTTAAAAGATGAATATTAACAATATTCTCACTGACATTTTATTCCCTCCTAATATTCTCCGTCAATAATAATAGAGAAAATGTTAGAAAAAAATATTCTTAGCATTTTTGCTTTTTAAAATGATCAATGTAGATATAAATTAACTTTTAATTTTTACCATTCATGTATGATTATATGACTCATATTTTAAAATGATAAATTTAGATCTGATAAAACATTACTTCATCAAAACTCCTTTCTATCTTGGGTATTAGATTCCTTGTTAGTACATTAAAACTATTATCAACTTGTCATGTCCCTCAAGTGAAAAAGGTTTCAAGGAGCTCATTCCCTTTTAGTTCAGCAATAAAGTGACAAAACATTATTGAATCCTTTTGAAACTAGAAGTTCACGATCCAACTCATCCTACTAACTTGACTTGAGCCAACATTAAGTTAGATTTAATGTATGTTGAAGATGAATTTAAGTTATAGTTTGATGCTTTTAAACTTGGCCTATTGTCTATTTTTTTAGTTTAAAAAAATATACTTTTTAAACTATGTATTAATAAATATCACTACAACAAAATTTGTTATTAATGACAATAATTTAATTGCCGCTATATATAAAAATATTAATAGCTAATATATAATAGTCACTAAAAAAGTATTTATATTACACTAAAGTTTACTATTACCGACAATTATTTATTAGAAAAAACTTAAGCCCCACATCGATTAAAGATAAAATAATTAAATAGTATATAAGTGAGTAATAACTATCACCTTACAGATTCATTTTATAGAGTTGACTCCTAATTCACTATTCTAAATTGGTATCAAATCATCCATTATTACCAAGTTCAATAGTGCTATAAAATAATTAGAGAGAAACTTTCACCTTATAAATCTCACATCTCTTAAGAGACAAGAAAATTAAAAAAAAAAAAAATATATATATATATATATATATAATATGTTACTTTTTTTATGTGTTAGTGAAATTAATAATACATCTTATTTGTGGACGAAATCGAGAATATTGAACAACTAATAAATAATTTATAAAATTTATTATTTTAATGCCTAGGCAAAGTCTATGTGTGTAAATAAATCCTAAAAATATGATTAAACTAAGACTATAACAATTGAAAGAGTTATTCCTAAAAACTAAAACATCTTGCCTAAGGTACCCTAAATAGTGACCTAGGCATTTCCTAAACAATTTTGGAGCATATTATTTATTAGATATTGTACCGTCTCAGCCGATTCCCGATTTGGCCTACTGTACCGTCTCGGCCGATTCCCGATTTTGCCTAACTTCACAGTCGGATCGGGATCCGACCTCACTCTCTCCTGAACCAGATCGGCCCTGTTCCGATCCCTCCCGCCTTTAAGACCCTCTCGGCCAATACCCGACCACTCCCTCGGTATGGGTATGGTCGGTCGGAAACTGATCGAAGCTCCTCGCGTCAATCAAGCGTTATCCAAATAATAATGGTTAAGGAGATCCCCATATTCACGGGGCCCGTGAGGCCCATGAACGAGAAAGTATAAAACCTAAAACCCTAAAGCTAAGAAGGCAGATTACACCCTTTGAATGCTCTGGCTTTGAGGCTTGACCTAGGAAAAAACCCTAGTAGAACTTTTGGCCGGAACATTTTGGTGCCCACCGTGGGGCTACGGTAAAACAATTCCTACGCCCCAAATCATAGAGATTTAAATTAAATTAGTGTTAGAAAATTCGACATTATATGTAAATAATAGCGTCGATTTTTTCGACACTAAACTCAATTTAAATTTAAAGTCAACAAAGTCAACACTACATTTTAAAATAATATTTACTTTTTTGATAGTAATTACGTTAATTATTAGTCGATACTTGTTTTTTTAACTATTTCATGTTTTTTTGCAGTGTGATAATTAATCACATTAACTATCTTGATAAAAAAAAATAATTAAATGGAAAAAGGCACGCACCGATCACAAGCTAAATAAAAATATTAAATGAATTCATGAACAATGAACATGAAATAAAAGAGAGAAAAAGGCAACGCATTTCATCAGAAACTTTTGTATACAGTAAGTTCGTTAATTTTTACTACAACTATCTAAAGTGATATCAATAGATTTTTTTTTATTAATAGTTTACAATACATAATTATTAAGTATTGTAAAGTGATTCTAGTTGAAATTGTTTTTAGAGGAAATACGTGATATATTTAAAATTAATTTTATATTATCATTTAATTATAAATTATCATTTATAATAATTTGTTACTCTCTTTATTTTATATATAAATAAAAAATATTTAAAATTTTGAATATAAATATAAGCAAATTTTAATTCAATCAATTTTATTAAATACTTTTAATTTAAAAATACTTCTAAGATAATAAATGAGAACACTATCTTAAAAAAATTGTAATTAAGGATTTTTAAAAAGTATAGAATATATTTTATATAAAATTGTATGGATTTAACTACCTCATTCAATTTGGATAAATTTAATTATATATATATATATATATATATATATATATATGTAACTGGTATTTTTTATGTTAAAATATTTTTTTAGTCTTTATAATTTCACTTATTTTACCTTTTAGTTCCTACAATTTAGAATAGACTATTTTAGTCACTATACTTATCTTGTTTGTTTGTGTGTGTTTTTTTTTTTTTTTTATCACTTTAGCTCTTATCGCTAACTTTTTTTGTAATGTTATCTTTTTAATGTAAATAGAACAGAGATATTAATTTAACTTTATGTATATGATGTTAAATTTATTTTGTTAGAATTATCTAAATTAGATTTTGTGTTTCTTTTGTACCTTCATCTATGATGCTCGTTGTTAAAATACTTTTTTTACCGTCACAAGATTTAAGAGTTTTATAACATCAACACAAAATAGTCAATGTTAAAAAAAAAATTAATGATACGGATTAAAAGGATTAAAAAATTGTAAATATAGGGACTAAAAATATATTTCTTAAATTATAGGAACTAAAAATGTCTATTTTAAATGATAGAGACTAAAAGATAAAGTGAGAGAAATTATACCTGATAGACTCTTAAGTAATTGAAAATGAGTATTATTTGTTATTTTTCAACATCCTCATGTACCTAGACATATTTGATATCAGAGTATATCAACCGAGTTGGTATCTTCTATGTATCATATACTCGTTCGGCTCTCTTGAATGTTAATACCCTGTGCACTCTCAAGTGTAGGTCATCTCGCATGTATTGATCTTTCAACAACAATGGTTGTTCACCATGCTTAAAGATAATTCGAGTAATTAAGCCTAACCATAGTAAAATTAGGATTAGGGACATTATCAAATTGATAATCTATGACTAAGACTTATTAAGATTTAGATCTATCATAGTTTGTATAAATAGTACTATGTATTATATATCAAGATAAAGTTGTTATTAATAAATATTTTCATTTATTATTTGTGAGTATCTTACTTAAATTTCGAAATATCTTTTATATATATATATATATATATTTCCTTGATGTAGTTGGAGTATAATTTGATGAGCAAAGAATAAGAAAAACAATAAAAATAAAAAACATTTAAGTAATAAAATATTTACAAAAATTATAGAGAATAAAAAAAACAATTTAACATTTTATATACAGATAAAAGAGTAGTAACTTTGATAATAATAAATAAAAAATTATAAATACAATGGTAATATGTAATTGGTTGACGAGATAAGCATTAAAGTTATTATTTTAAGTAGTTAATATTATCATAAATTATAAATAAATGCAAGGAGAATAGTAATGTCTTTTTCACGAAGGACACTGTTTTTATTTTGCAGCACCAACCATGTCTGGGATCAGGATCGTCTACATTTTAAAATCAACCTGCACACGGTGCAGTTACAGATTTGACCATTAATTATAATGAATTTTATTGTTAACGGACAGGATTCCTGGGGCTTGACTTTAAATTGCGCAGGGTCAAAATCCTTGGGATTGACTAACGGCAGTTAATTCGGGGATCCACATCACAAACGACAGTTGACAGATTCTGATGCATCCAACGGATAGGAAAATATTTGATGCTTTGACGTTGGTTTAAGGGTTTTCCAACTTGCAAATGCAAGCACACTAGTCGTCGAAAGTGAATTCACAAATCTCACTCGATCCTTATAAATCCACCGCTACCCTTCTCTCTCGTCAATCGTCAATTGTCATAGCTTCTCTTCTGTCTTAAACAATGGCGTCTCTCTCTCACCTCAACAAGCTCCTCTGCTTCCCCACCCTCAACTCCACACCCTCTCTTTCGCCACCGCGCGCCGCCCTCCCATTTCTTATGAAGCCGCTCGCAAGGCCGCTCATGCTTCGCACCTCGGCCAGGGCGACGCTCCGTGTCCGATCGTTTTCCGGCGAAGAGTTGCTACCGGCGGAGGAGACGGAGATTCTGAAGAAGGCTTTGGTGGATTCGTTCTACGGAACCGATCGTGGACTGAAAGCAAAGAGCGAAACGAGAGCGGAGATCGTCGAACTCATCACTGAACTCGAGGCCAAGAACCCCACCGCTGCTCCCACCGACGCCCTCACTCTCCTCAACGGAAAGTGGATTCTCGCGTAAGCTTCTTCTTCCAATGCTTCTACGTACCTTTTCATAACTTTTTATATTATCGCACTATTTTGTTTATTTCAGAATTACAACACAGACATGTATAATATATTTAAGTCTTTTTAGTTTTGTTCTATGGTTTGTGTTCTTTCAGTTCCCCCAACTGGTGGGTGGACTAAGACTTGGTGAAATTGTGGTTCCGCAGGTATACATCCTTTACAGGATTGTTCCCGTTGTTGTCATGGGGAACGCTACCACTGGTCAAGGTAGCCGAAATATCTCAGTCTATTGACTCGGAGAATTTTACTGTCCAAAACTCTGTTCTCTTCGCTGGTCCTTTGGCCACCACCTCCATTAGTGCTAATGCCAAATTCGAAGTCAGAAGTCCACGACGTGTGCAGGTTTGTCTCTAGTAAATTGATCATTTTTCAAAATCATAAATTCATATGATACTATATATTTCAACATCTTGATCATTTAGACTATGAGTCTGTTTAATTAAAAAAAAAATTTCTTTAGTAGAAAAAGCTTTTTATTTTCCAAACATGTTTATATAATTTATATATATTTTTTGCATTGGATTAACATCCTGTTAAGCTCCTCAAGTGACATTTTCTCATATTGCATGTTACTTAGATCAAGTTTGAGGAAGGCGTCATTGGCACTCCACAGTTGACAGACTCGTTAGAGATACCAGAAGATGTGGAATTTCTGGGTCAGAAGATTGACCTTACACCTTTCAAAGGCATCATTACGTCTGTGCAAGACACAGCCTCATCGGTCGCCAAAACAATTTCAAGCCAGCCTCCGTGGAAGATCCCAATTTACAGCAGCAATGCTCAATCGTGGTTACTCACTACATATCTTGACGAGGAACTGCGCATCTCAAGGGGTGATGGTGGCAACGTGTTTGTTCTCGTCAAAGAAGGAAGCTCTCTTCTGACAAGTTAAACACAACAAAGTAGTATATTTTGGGCTCAATATATAGTTTATGTTTATCAAATAAGCAAAGGGTCTTGATTAAATACAGTGATTCTGAAGAAGCATGTGTAGAACAGTGTTAATGCCCTGATGCGGATTGTTTTGTTAATGTGTGATATATTTATTATAAGCAGAAGCGAATGACATCAATCATGCAGCCTCTGCTTTTTATTTTGTTAACGTGTGATATATTTATGATGCGGTTGTTTTGTAAATTGTTAATGTTAGGTCTAGCTCAAATCCATCTGATTTACATGTTCCATCACAAAAAAATTTCTGGGCCAAAACGTTTTTTTATAAAGCCAAAATAAGGAGTTATCAACCCAACTAAACTGTTTTGGGCCTCACTAGATTCAAAAGTTTGGTTGGATAAATGTGCCTAAATTGAATTTATATAACCCAAAAGTCATGTTCATTGTTCCACATCGTCCTCTTCCCCCATATAAAAGAGGTGTTGATAATAGGACTAAAATATATAAAAAATTACTTTTATAAAGACTAAAACCAGTAATTTCTAGGTGAAGTGATTAAATATAAAGATTGTATAAGTATTGTGTAAGTATAAAAATGAATATATAAAAATAATATAATTATAGAAACTAAAATATAAAGTACAATACATGTTAATCTCATATTATCCACCGGATCATTATTAACATCTTTAACTCTTTTATATGACAAAGATCAAAACAAAACTAAGTGTTTGCACAAGGATTATAAATCAAATTTTTTTTAAATGTAAAGATTAAAAAATAAAATTCGTGCAACTATTGAGATGATATAAGTAATTAAATCTAAAAATAATTCTAACCAACCAAAAGTCAAATCAAATGCTACATAATAAAGGAAAGCATTAAATATTTATTAAAGACCAAATCAAATCATAAATTAAATATCCATTAAATCTATTCAGAGGGACTAGAGAAGCGGGTTTCAGAGTTATAAATGACACCTTTCACAATAAAGATTATACTATCAAGGTAAGGGAGGGTGAATTTATCTTTCCATATTTTTAAATAGAATTTGTGAGTAACAAAATGATTATTAAACCTCTTTAGAATTTTAGATTGCAAGTTTTTGGAGGGATTTTGAATACCATGAATGAATGATGTTTTGTTTGTATGTAATTGGCTTCATTATGTTGTAATGAGTTATGTTAATGTGATTGAATATATATATATATGTGTGTACACATGTGTGGATGAATTGTATGAATCATGGATTTGCCGATTAATTTGAGTGATGTTAAGATTTTTAAATTAAGACAAATTGGTTATATAATGTTTAACATGAAATTTAATGCATATTAGATTATGAAATTAATGTAATCCATATATAATTAGATAAAAAGAGACGTTTTAGAGTCATGCTCACAAGACTGAGTTCCCAACCCTTTTTTTAGTTATTTTGCTTGAGCTAAAAACTATTTGTTGGTGAAGTTCAATTCGGTGTGGATGAACATGTTGCAACTTTTAAGTTTAGTTTTGATAGGTCATAGATATGACTTTGGGATATTAGAAGAACTGATGTTATTTATTTATCTAAATTATTAGTTTACCTTTATTTTGAAATTCAGTTATAAAGGCCTTAGGAATATCTTTTTGTCCTTTTATAATGATTAGTTTTATTTTAAAATTTTATTGTGAAGATTTAGTAATGTGAACCTTTTATTCAAGTGAGCAATTATTTTAATATACTCTAATTTCTGCAACTTAAGTGTTAAAATTAAAATGATTAAATGAATTCGAATGGTTTAATTTTTCATTTTTGAATTAAAATGTAAAAGATAAATTATAAAATTTTGATAACCATGATTTCATCCTTTTTGTAATTTAAACCTACATGTTTCAGTATGCAACAGGTACCACATAAACAGCAGCACATTATATATATATAAAGCACATGGGAATATGACAAATATTCGAATTCTCAAGAGAAAACCCTGTGTTTAAGGTCTGAAAAAACAAGCACGTGGAAGATTCTAGAGTAGCCACGATGTAATTTTTGGGACATTCAGAGTTTCAGAAAACGACAACTCATCATGGGCCTAACATTTTTTATTTTTAATTTTTATATGGTGGCAAATTGCAAGGGTGAAGCTAGACGAAGCAAATCTCCAAGTCAGTGAAATATCCACTTCTTGTGTGGTCCATTTGACGAAGGACACGCTCTTTTCATTTTACAACAAAGTCGTACACGTTACAACAGTCAATTAACAAACCTCAATCTTCCTTAAACCTTATAATATAAAAAAATCCACCACTTCCCTTCTCTCTTCTGTTTTCTCTTCTCTTAAACAATGGCCTCTCTCTCTCACCTTAACAAACTCCTCTGCGTCCCCACGCTCAACTCCACGCCCTCCGTTTCGCCGCCGCGCGCCCTCGGAATTTCGACCAAACCGCTCCCAAGGCCGCGGCTGGTGGCCGACTTTGCGAGGCCGGCGGTGCGCGTCCGAGCCGTCACCAGCGACGACGAGTGGGGCCCGGAGAAGGAGGAGGACACTTTCGGCGGTGGCGGCGTGGCGGTGGAGGAGAAACCGGCGGAGACGGAGAAGCTGAAGAAGGCTTTGGTGGATTCGTTCTACGGCACTGACCGTGGATTGAAAGCATCGAGCGAAACGAGAGCGGAGATCGTTGAACTCATCACTCAGCTCGAGGCCAAGAACCCTAACCCTGCTCCCACCGACGCCTTGACTCTCCTCAACGGAAAATGGATTCTCGCGTAAGCTTCACTCGTCTTATACTTTTTTTTTTATAATAATTTTATTTCAGAATTATTTTCTCGTCATAACATATTTTTTAAGGCTTCATTTAGTTTTTGAATTCGATGCTCTTGCGCATGGAATTGAATACCCCTGTACTTATTTTGGACGCAAGATAATAATATAATTTTTTCTTTAATTATCCCTTTTAGTCCTTTATGAAATTATAAGGATCGAGAACTTTTTTGGTCTCTAATAATGTTGTTATTCGTTTTGGTTCTCACAATGAACATGTCATTAGTAACATATTTTATGGCCATGTAAATACAACAATTTTTTTCTTATGCCCCTGTATAATAGCAAGGTTATAAAACTAAAAAATCATTTTACAGTGACTTCATAAATAATCGATATATATTTACAAAGAATGTGTAACATATTTAAACCTTGTTAGTTTTCTTCTATGGTTTGTGTTTTTTCCCCAACATGGGTAGACCCAGGGTAGAGATTGTGAACCTTTAACAGTAAATTACCAACTCGCGGGTGAATTGTGGTTCCGCAGGTATACATCCTTTGCAGGATTGTTCCCATTGTTGTCAAGGGGAACACTACCATTGGTCAAGGTAGAGGAAATATCTCAGACTATTGACTCACAGAATTTTACCGTCCAAAACTCTGTTCAGTTCGCTGGTCCTTTGGCCACCACTTCAATTAGTACCAATGCCAAATTTGAAGTTCGAAGTCCTCAACGTGTGCAGGTTTGTCTCTAGTAAATTGAATTTTGACAATCATAGATAACTAACTGATGAAGTGTGAAATATATATTATCTGAACGTAGGATCTTTCTTGCATTGCATTAGTTTAACATTTTTCCCATATTGCTTGTTATTTAGATAAAGTTTGAGGAAGGCATCATTGGCACTCCACAGCTGACGGACTCATTAGAGATACCAGAAAATGTGGAATTTCTGGGTCAAAAGATTGACCTTACACCTTTCAAAGGCATCCTTACCTCTGTGCAAGACACAGCCTCATCAGTCGTGAAAACAATTTCAAGCAGGCCTCCTTTGAAAATCCCAATTTCCAACAGCAATGCTCAATCGTGGTTACTCACTACATATCTTGATGAAGATCTGCGTATCTCAAGGGGTGATGGTGGCAGTGTCTTTGTTCTCATCAAAGAAGGAAGCTCTCTTCTCACAAGTTAAAACAAAACAAACTAGTTTACTTTGGGGTACATTCCATATATATATAGTTTATGTTTATAAAATAAGCAATGGGTTTGGATTGTATACAATGTGATGCGGATTGTTTAGTTAATGTGTGATATATTTATAAGCATAAGCCAAAGGCATCAACCAGCTTCAAATAGCAGCATAATAACATGTTTTCTAGTTGACTATTTTCAAAGGAAGGCTAGTGGTTGGTAGTATGCTGGTTGGGAATAAACAGTGTGAATGTGAACTTTGTCTATCTATAGTATATGCCCTCACCAGATTGACAGTCCCAAACAGGAATGTGAATTAGATACTTTAATTTCAATATTTGGGTAGGTAATTAAAATGGAAATTAATTTTTGTGAAGGAATAAGCATTTTATTATTTGTGGGAATAGACCTTCAAGTTAACAAACCGTCATTTCCTTTCACTAAATAAGATATAGATGTGGAGGTATAGCTCAACCCATCTTGCCACATTTTCCATCCCAAAAAGATTTCTAGGACAAATCGTTTTTCATTATGCCTAAATAAAGTTATAAGCCCAGCTAAACTGTATTGGGCCTCGCTGGATTGAAAAGTTTGGTTGGATTAAATGTGAATAAATTGAATTTATATAACCCAAAAGTCATGTTCTTCGTTCCACATTGTCCTCTCCCCCCAATGTAAAAAGGTATTGCTAGAACTAAACTATAAAAAAATCACTCATAAAAAAACTATAACGAGTCTTTTTTTTTTTTAAGGTAAAAATACTAAAATATCAAGATTTGTTAAGTGTGGGAACTTGAACGTAAATATTTTATAAATATAAAGATTAAAATGTAAAAGTAATATAAATATAGAGATTAAAATATGGATTTAGGATTTTAGAGAGTGAAGTCCTTTCATTTCCAAGCTGCCTGGATTGATCATTCTCTGCATCCTGATAGTGTCAATAAAGCTTGGAACTCTACACCTGACACTATCTTCAGAAAACTAGGTGAGGTTCAAATTATTTCTGTTGATTTTAATGTAAAGATTTTTGGTAATATCTTTAGAAGAAAACGTCATTTGGAAGCTAGAATCAAAGGAGTTCACAGGCCACTAGATATTTTTCCTTATTCCAGCCTTATTTCTCTAGAGAAAGATTTATAGGAGCAATATAACAAGGTTCTTCATGAAGAGGAAATTTTGTGGTTCCAAAAGTCTAGAGAACAATGGATAAAATTTGGCAACAAAAATACCAAAATTTTTCATATCCAAATAGTTATCAGAAGAAGGAGAAGTCAAATATCAGGACTCACAATTGATGGTATCTAGTGTGATGATGATGTGGTTTTGAAGAGGGAGGCTTTATCTTTTTTCAAAAATTTATTTCATTCTTCAGAAAACTGTCACCCTAAGAGCTTGCAACTCCGATGGATTCCTCAGGTTGATAGTGAGCTTTATGCTTCTTTGATGAAACCAATTTCCAGGGAGGAGGTGAAGAATGCTATTTTTTCTATGGACTCATACAAAGCCCCAGGGGTGGATGGTTTCCAACCAATTTTCTTCAAGACTTATTGGTATGTGGTGGCTTATGAGGTTTGGTAGATGGTGGCAAATGCTTTCTCTAATGGTGTCATTGAACCGGCCCTCACTGAGACTCTTATTGTCCCAATTCCTAAAGTAGATATTCCTATGTCCTTTAAAGATTTCAAACCAATAAGTCTTTGCAATGTTCTCTTCAAAACGATTTCTAAGGTGTTGGAACACAGGATCAGGCCTCATTTAGACAACTTAATTAAACCTCTACAAAGCAGTTTCATTCCTAAACGAGGTACTTCTGATAATGCTATGATAACTTAAGAGATTATTCATCACATGCATAAGAAGAAAGGGAAAAAAGGCTATGTTATGTTTAAAGTTGAGTTTGAGAAAGCTTATGACATGGGGGATTGGAATTTTCTTAAACTAACATTGACTGATTTTGGCTTTCCTTATTATGAATTCTACCACCTCTACTAGCTTGTCCTTAAAGTGGAATGGTAAGTATGATAGCGTCAAACCCATTAGAGTATTGAGACAAGGTGATCCAATGTTTCCCTATCGATTTGTTTTATGTATGGAAAAATTGTCTCTCCTTATTATTCCACAAAAGGTGCAAGAACAAACTTTATGGTCACCTGTGAAGATTGCTACAAATGCCCCTTTTGTTATTTCCATTTATTTATTTTTTATTTTTTACAGATGATTGCTTAATTTTTTGCTAAAGCAAAAACCTCCGAAGTCAACCTGATGAAAGAAGTGTTGGATGTTTTCTGCAAAGCCTCAGGCCTTAAGGTGAATACTTCCAAATCTAGATTTATCACTTCAAGAAATATTCTTCATGCTAAACTCAATAAATTTGCTACTATTTCTCTCTTTCAACACACTTGTAATATTGGGAAGTATCTTGGATTTGTAATTCTCTTGGGGAGGATAAAAAATATTGAATTTAATTACATCCTTGACAAAATTAATTCCAAATTAGCAGGTTAGAAAATGAAGACCTTGAATAGAGCAAGGAGAGTAACTTTAGTAAAGTCCACACTCACTTCTATGTCTATATACACCATGTAGAATTTATGATTTCCGGAAGACATTTGTGATAAAATTGACTCCACAATTAGGCCGTTTATATGGGGAATGATCATTGCCATTAGTTAATTGGGATATTACTAATCTTCCTAAAGCCTGAGGTGGTCTTGGTATTTGTCCAACTTATTTCATCAACATTTTTTTACTTGGAAAACATATTTAGGACTTCATGCAGAAAGAAAAATTGTGGGTTCATATGTTAGATGCTCAATACTTGAAAGAAGCCCCCATTCTTCAAGCAAACATTGTTTAAGGTAGCTCATATACTTGGAATTCTATAGCCAAAGCCATTGATCATCTCAAGCTTGATTTCAAAACTCAGTTGGAAAAAGAAAATGTGTCTCTTTGGCATGATAAATGGTTGGATAGTGATTACCTTTGTCATCTTGTCCCTTTTGTGCATATTCAAGACACTACTCTTCATGTTTGTGACTTATACAATCATGGTCTTGGAACTTTAATATCTTAGCTACTAGAATTCCTAATGAAGGCAAAAAGGAACTCATGGACCACGTGTTGAATGAAGACGTGGAGGATGCCATCATTTGGAGTCATTCTTTGAATGACATCTACTCATCAAACTTGACCTTCAATTGGCTTTTTGTTGAGAAGCCATCGCCCATCTTTCCTTTGACAAATTGGTCTTGTGTTTGGAAATTTAAATTACTAAAGAATATCCTCCACTTTTTATGGCTAACCTTACATGGTAGCCTACTCACTAATGTTTTTAGAGTTTAGACATTTGTCTATGAATTTTTCTTGTAATAGGTGTGGCAATGGGCAGAAGTCTTTAACACAAGTGCTTAAAGGCTATATAGTTATGCTCAAAAAATTTGGCAACATTTAAAGCTAGATCAAAATAACAATTTCTATAATATGGACTTGCATAAGTGACTTCTTCATAATCTTCATAGTACAATAACAACAATGTTTCCAGTTACATATTGGATAATATGAAAAGTAAGGAACTCAATCATGTTTGAAGATATCAATGTGGAAGATCATCAATCAAGTTCAAACTCTCTTTGTGGATGTTAGTAGCTCTCTCTGCAAAACTTTGAAGATAAGAGAAGTTAGAATAGTAAAATGGGAACCGCCAATTTTTTCAACTGTTTAATTGAACACCGATGGCAGCTCACTAGGGAACCCAAGACGTGTTAGATTTGGAAGTATAATTCATGACCATAATGGAAAATGGGTTTCAGGTTTTTCTAGTTGTTGTGGGGTCTCTACTAGCCTCAAAGCATAATTGTTAGGTATCTTTTATGGATTCTAGAAAGTTTGACATGATAATATTCACAACCTTATTTGTGAATCAGATTCCCTTATGGCCTTAAAGTTGATTAGGAAAAATGAAAATGTTTTTCATCCATGTTACTTGCTTACAAACAGGCTTCAATATTTTGCTTCTTTAAAATTGGATTGTTAATTTTAAATATGCCTTTTGAGAAACTAATTCATGTGCGGAATTTTTGATAAAACATGATGTCACACATGATTAGTTCATCCATGTTTGGACAACCAGTCATCCTCAACTTGATTATCTTTTATTGGTTGATGCCATGTGTATCTTACATGTTAGAGTGTGAATGTGGTTCTTTTTATTTTATCTTTACATTTTCTAAAGCATTAAAAAAGTATTATAAATATTGACATCACATCGTTTACCATTAACAAATTGAAAATGTTTGTATAAGAATTAAATTAGATATTTTGTAGTTAGAAAATTAGATATTTTGTAAATATAAAAATTAAAGTATAAAATTTGTGCAAGTAATACTAAACTAAATAAGTAATTAAACCTAAATAATAGTTCTATCCAAACAAAAATCAAATCAAATGCTACATAATAACCAAAAATCAAATCAAATCCTATATAATAAGGAAAGCAATATTATTCTTTAAAAAAAATCCGTGATATATCAAATCCACTCATAAATTAAAATGAGAAGAACATACGAAAACACAAACAAGCACATTTATAAATAAGTCTTGTAGTGTGTTTGGATGAGGAATTTAAATGGAGTAATTCATTTATTTGATGAATTTCAAATTTTTTGAGGTGAAATACCTTGTTTGGATAAGGAATTTATAAAGAATTTGAAATTCAAGAATTTGTGAAATTCTTTAAAATAGTAGAATTTCAAATTCTCCCAAAAGAGTAAGAATTTGAAATTCCTTATATTTTTTTCTTCTTATTTCACTTATATATTTTATCTTATCTCTTATCTCTTCATGTTTTTAATTGTTGAATATTCAAAAATATTTTTAAAATTATTAAATATTTAAAAATGAGCTAATATTTATTTTTATAAAATTTAATTTAAAAATCTCAACATATAAATATATTTTTAAAATCAATTTTATCATGGTGGAATCAAATTATCATATCAAACTTAACAATTTAAAATTTGAGAAATTTGAATTGACGTATCCAAACAAAATATTTTAAGAATGATAGAAATTGAAATCAAAGTAATTCAAATATCAAGAATTTAAAATTTCTTGAATTTGTAAAATTTCTCATCCAAACACACCATTATGCTTAAATATAGCAACCGAGATTTTGGCTTTTCACTCCTTTCCAACAGGGGTGACTTTGAAATTGGATTTCGGAACACCTGGTGGGCATTTTGTGCACCCTCTCATCCCACGAATTATGTGAGGGTTCATGTTGTATGTAGAGTTTCCTGGATCCAATTGTTCCGTGGGGTTGAAGCTATCTTCAACAGAACCTTGACACTGAGAATTAGTCCCAGCATTCTGAATTGAGCTTGTTGGAAATCTAAGGCGCCTACACTCCTTTTCCTTGTGCCGACCACCGCCTAGCCTTTTATGTTGAGAAGTTTTTGCAGTAGAAATTGTTATTCCACCGTTGGGGCTTGACCTTAGCTTTTTAGAGGTAAAAGAAGCTTTCTGCAACACTTCTCCTTCTGACACATAACCTATCCCATTAACTCTTGTCCTTAAAGATTCCAAACATGCCTTTCCACTAACTAATATATCTTTCTCTTGGTTAGAATTAACAGAATAGGTGTCTCCTCTTTGTGGCATTGACCTAAACTTCTGATCCTCATGATAACCAAAATTTTCTAAGTTAGTTTGGTCTAATTCAATATTATAATCACTGGAGGGACTATTTTGATGCAATATAGAGTTTTTATTCAGCAATTCTTCATCAAGACTTTCGGTGTGGATTGTGGACAAGGGGCTATTAAGTGGGGTATGAGAATCTGGTTTAATCATCCCTTCTTCTATGTTGTCTTTTCTTAGGTCCTCCAAAGTAGAAACTGTAAAATCTAACTTTGAGAAATCATATGACAGCTCCACAATGTCTTTGATATTTACTGATTCAACTACCTGTTTGATCAACTGAGCGTCCTCTAGTTCAGTGGTGTCTAGTTCGGCACCCCTTGATCTCAAGAACATTTCTAGAAAAGCAATCAACTGGACCATCTGATTATACTTATCTTCAAGTAAAAATTGTGCATCGAGTAGCTTCATTTGCACACGTTCTTCACGCCATAGTTCAACCATTTCCATCATTTCCCTCTCTTCTTCCACTTCCTCGCAAATCTTCACGGAATCACTTAGTAATCTTTCAAGCTTAGTCGTGTCTTCCCTTACTTGCATGGCTAACTCATTGCACACTTCCTCTATCTGTTTTCTTCCTTTCTTCTCTTCCTTGTAGTTTGCCATAAACCGTTTGGCTGATAAGTCGGCCTTAGTCAGATCATGTACCAATTTGGTATTCAATAACTCCATCCTTTCTCTACTTCTTCTTTCCCTTGCCAACTTGTCCTTCAAGTCATATAACATTGTTTCAATCTTCTCGCATTCTCTACACCTCCACAAGACCTTTTTGTCTTCAAGATTCTCTCTTTTCTTAGAGGACTTGTGTGTAGCTTTAAGTTTATTGATGGACTTCTGAGCACGTAGGTGTTCCTCCTGCAAATTAGTGAAACCAAAGTTACAGTCACCAAGAGTTTTTTTGTCTTCAAGATGCTTCATGCCACCGATCATATTCAACTTGTTGGATGCTTCATTATTCAAGGAAGGGTTCCATTTTGTTGCATCTTCTTTTGAACATTTGAGACAAGATATAGAAGATTCAAGCTAAGGAAAATAAATAAATAAATCACCACAAAAAAGAATATAGATTGGAATGTAGAATACGAATATTGTTTTCAGGAGGAGAAACATATTTAGTGATGATATATTTAAATCTCATTTATCTCTTGTAGCCAACTATCTTTTTAGATTCTTAAAAATGTGTTTTTTTTAATATCTTTTTAAATCAACTCCTATTTATAAAATAGAAACAACAATTTTGTGCGGAAATATTTTTACAGAGTTTTCTTTAACAAGAATCTTTTTTAGAAATTCTTTTAACTTTATATCTAATTCAGTTTTTATTTATTATAATTATTTATGAATTAAATTTTAACATTTTAAAATAAATTATTAATAAATAAAAATAATCTTGTACTTTATATATCTAAAATATAATATATTTATAAATATATACTTATTCAAGTTCTAAATATAATTTATATATTTAAATATAATATTTATTTATACATATAATTTATTTTAAATTTTATTTATATATAATAAACATTTAACATGAATATTACGTATACTAAAATAATTGTTTTATTTAAGATTAGAACTTACATTTATTTTACTAATTATTTTTTGAAAACTTAATTAAGACAAATAAAATTTAAATATGAGCTATTTTTTTTTCTTAATAAAGAATATCATAAGAAATTTGGGTATAGATAATGGTGAACCTTGTGATCCAAGCGTGACTAAACGACTTTCTGTCTCATATTATTACTCATTAAAAAATAATAGAGTAAATTACATTGTGAGGTTTAATAATAGTGCACATAATTATTTATTTATTTATTTTTGCCTCTACTCTAACTCTACTTTTTAATTGTTTTAAAAAATATGATACTGACATTCTTTAAATATTACATAAATCTTTTTTAATTGTTTAAAAAATATTACATTGTGTTCCAATATAAAGAATATTGTTTAAAACATTACTGTACAAAATAGAGAATCATATATGTGCATCTTACGAAACCTGGTTAAGTATGAGGCTATGAGTATAATTAACTCAAAACAATAAGCATGCATGTAATGTAACACATACCTCACGTCGAAGTCTATTTCCTGAACGCAAGATGGTTATTGGCTTTCTTTGCTGATATTTTATCTCTTCAACTTTTTCTCCTGAATTGTGATGATGAGGAAACGTCATCTTTACATTTCCATCAGCAGGCTGAAGCAAACATGGGTGATGAGATGCCATTTGAGAAATTAATAAAAAATTTAAAAAAAAATAGGGAAGAAGAGCGAAAATGAGTAAACTCCCAAATTAATATTTGAAATTGTATGTGTCAAGCATTTCACTTAATTTTAGGCTTCATCAATCTCCGATTACTTCTTAGTTTTGTAAAACGATTTTACATTTAAAATTACAGCGAAACAAAAACTTAAATCAAGAACCTTTAATGAAGTCGGAGACTAACATTTTTTTATACATAAAATCGTATCACATGAATTAAAATATCATATCATATATTTTTTATGATTAATTTATGAATTAGCATTTTAGGTATACAATAATTAAAATATTCTATCATATATATAGTTTTTAACTATATTGAGCAATATAATCTATCAACCTTAATTATGAAAATATATCTTCTCCATTTTTTTTTATTTCTTCTATTTTCTATATTATAAAAATCAATAAAATAAAGTTGACAAAGTTAATGCTTAATTTAGGAAGAGTCACATTTATATTTTTTAAAATTTTAGTAATGCAAAAAATGGAGAGAAAAGAAAATGATGGAGATCTTTACTTCAAGCCAGGGACGGAGCCAGGATTTCAATACTGGGGGGCCGAGAATTGGAATGATCAAATGAGGCGCTACATTTTTTTAAATAAAAAAAAATTCCAAAGTGATACCACATAGCAGGCCGTACCAGAAGTCCAAAAGTTGAATAAAAAAATAAATTTGGGTTATTCATTTAATTATACATATGAGTTTATATTAAAAATAGGGGGTGCCATATAGTAATATATATGTATATAAAAAAAAATTAAAATTGTTGGGGGGGCCGTGGCACCCGTAGGTCCCCCCTTGGCTCCGTCCTTGCTTCAAGCTTACACCCCAATTTGAGAGACTTACAACAATAATTCTCCGTATTTGCCATCAATCTAGATGACTAAGATCATATTTTGATAAGGTCTAGAGTACTAATCATTTCATATTTAATTATTATCCTAATGGCTAAAATGAAATATAGTTATGCATTGGTCAAATTGAACAATTTACTAATAAGTAAATAATAATAAGTAGAAGACCAAATCTGATGAGTTAAGGCTTAAAACAGTTTTGAAAATACAATAAAAATGATTTTGAAAACTATTTAAAAAAAACACTATTTTATCTGAACAAATATTATTTTACGAAAATTGAAAATTAAAAAGTAAAAAACTCATCGTCATCCTGACCATGCCTTAATAACTGAAGCTTGTGTTGTCCAACAAGAAAAAAATAAATAACTGAAGTTTGAATATATATATAACGATACGAATATAACTTTTACTAAATATTATACCGCTCGATAACTTTATATTAAATGTGAATTTTATAAATCCAACCGTTAGATTGAAAGTTCATATCATTTTATACGTGTATATCAAATTTTGTTAAAATTGAATAACAACTTGAAGATAATCAAAGTGTTCATATTTTAGTATATTTTGAAATTAATATATTACGTTAATTTTGTTTTATAAGAATGAAGTATCAAATCATATTGAATTAATATAAAATTTTGTATATATGATCTAAGAGATATGAACTTTCAATCTAATGGTTGAATTTATAAAATTTATATTTATATTGAGCGGTATAATATTTAGTAAAAATTATACCTGTGTCATTTGAACTCTCCTCATAAATATTATTTCTAAAAACGGATTTTTGACGAATTAAAATATTACCGACAAAATATTTTTTTGGCTAAAATAGTATTTTAGTCCCTTATAATAATTGTTTGTTTCAATTTAGTCCTACTTTTATTTTTGGTCTCAATTTGATCCCTAATAAATTAATTGGTTGCAATGTCGGACTTTCGTCCAAATTATTTAAACGAAGTTAACTGTTGGCCACGTGGATGTCACGTAGATGCGTAGGTGGATGCCAAATTTTTTGAAAACACCTGGAACCAGAACGGCCTGTTCTGGTGCATTCTTAGTGTGTTAATTTTGCATCCGGAACGGCCCGTTCCAGGTGCAAAATTAACACATTAAAAGTGCAACTAGAACGGGCCGTTCTGGTTTCAGAACGAGTCGTTCTGGTTCCAGACTGCTAAACACAAATGGTCAATGATTATAGTTTACGGTTGTGAATTGTGGAAGGAAAAAGACCTAAGATACAAAGCATTTCAAAACACTGGATTTGGTAATATTGTCAATGAAAATTGATAACTTCAATTGCTAAACAGTTGGGCTATACAATGTATCATTAAGGACAATGCAGTGTATTACTAAAGACAATGGTAGCAGATTTTATTTCATTGTTAGTCAAACTGGAGTGAAACACTTATTACCAAATTGACACTATATAGTAAAGGATGAAATGACATGATATTTTTCCTTAAAGTCATTAACGATGTACTCCAACAATAACAACATGTTCTTGAAGAGGTAGAACCTGAAGTAAAGGAAGAAGATATACAGGACTAACATTTCACCACACAATCACATGCAGGGACGAATCTAAGTTAATCATAGTGGGGACACTTGCCCCCACTAAAATTTTTTTCATTCTTTTTTTTATATAAAATATTAATAATTTTATAAAATATATATTATTAATTATATTTTAATTATCTTGTTATATCTAATATAATAAATACATTAATATTTTTTTATATTTATTTTATTGTTTAATTTTTTTTTATTTTGTGGTAAAATTATCTTCATTTTTAATGAAGAAAAAATTTACTTACTTCAATAGTAAGTCTTGATAGATTTATTCTACTTAATAATTAATATTCTATATCAAATTTTTAAAAATTTAATTGTTAAATTAAAAAGCTTTTCATGTATAGATCAAATTTATAAAAAAATTTAAAAAATTAAAAATCATATGATATTTCGTTAAATTAATTCAAAATAACATATAAAATATTTTTGTTTTAAATGAGTGTAAAAATTTAGAGGACACTAAAAGAAAACAGATTAATAATTTTATTATGTATATCCTATTAATTTTTATCATTTTATTCCTTTAATTTTAAATAAGTTGCAAAAAATTATTAAGTGATACTTAAATATTTCTTCAGATAGAAAGAGAAAAAAAATTATCACTCTATTTATAAGTATTTTATAAAAATAAGTAATTTTAAAATTTTTACCATAAAAAAATATTTTTCAAAATTATTATAGTTCTGGAACGGGCCATTCTGAATCCAGCACGACCCGTTCTGAAACTAGAACGGACAGTTCTAGTTGTAGAACAGACTGTTCTTTTGTACTCGTTGTAACACAACAGCAACCCGCATGTGGATATTGTCCGCTTTGGCCGCAGCCCTCACGGTTTTGCTTCTGGCAATGGCACGCATGCCACCCCAAAACGCGTCCACACAAGGAAGGTATCCACACCCATATATATGGCATGCTTCGTTCTCCTTCCTAACCGATGTGGGACTTCACACTCGTGGTGTGTTAATTTTGCATCTGGAACGGTCCGTTTCAGATGCAAAATTAACACACTAAGAATGCATCCAGAATGACTCGTTTCAAAACGGGCCGTTCTGGTTCCAAGTGTTTTCAAGCATCTACGTGACATCCACGTGACCAACAGTTAACTCCGTTTAAATAATTTAGACGGAAGTCCGACATTGCAACTAATTAATTTATTAAGAACCAAATTGAGACTAAAAATAAAAGTGAGACTAAATTAAAACAAACAATTATTATAAGGGACCAAAATAGGTTTTTAGCCTATTTTTATTTTTTTCGATGACTATATCCCTGACGGATTATTTGTGTATTGAAAATCTGTTGGAATCTTCACTTACCGTTGAATTTTCATTATTATCGATGGATCGTCAATACTCAATAATTAACGTTTCATGACAAATTATTGTCTATTCAAAATTCGTCGAAATCTTTAGTTACCGATGAATTTTTATTATTATCGATAAATTATGACCGTTAGTATCACATAATATATTGATCAAAATCAAAATCCAACCCTGAATATATTGATCAGAAAAGCAAACAAAGCTTTCACATAATATAAATAAAAATTGTAAATTTTTGCAGCCAGAAAAAAACTTAAAAAATTATTGTGTATATATAATCCAAAACTGTGTAATTTCTGTCAATCTCTGTACGACAATAATCACATTTTAAAATTTTGTAAAAAATGATCAATGGTCTCCAATCATATAATAAGTTCTTAAAAATTGGAGATAAGGACAAATCTGTATTAAAGTATAAAATAAAGAGAAAAATATAAAACAAATATTTAAGTTATTACATAATATAAATGAAATAACATTAAATTTATTATAATATAATGAATTATTATTATGATTTTAATAAATATGATAATAACTATAAAATTGTGACAATAACAATAACAAAAATGATAATGATAAGATAGTGATGAGTTGTAACAGTAGTGATGAACTTGGTCAATACTATTAATAATATAACGATAATAGTGTTAGATAATAATGATAAGAGTCGAGATAATATTAGTATAACATTATAATAATGGATGTATTTGTAATTGAGACAAAAAATTGTCTCATAATTTATTAAATAATAAAAAAATTAAATTTTTATTATATTCATCTTCTTTTTTTTTGTTGTCTTTTCTCATTATCTTTTTATAAACCAAAATAAGATAAATATATTTTTCTTGCTTAGTATCATAACTTTTAGTAAATTAAACATACCTATAGTCAGTCTTGTTGGGAAATATACCCCCACTAAAATCTTTTCCTTTCTAATTAATTACTATACTGTTATATTTTAATTTCTTACACTATATCTAATGTATTATATATTTTTCTTTTCATTCACAGTTGCTTACACTTTTGTTTTTGGAAAAAAATCACATTTAAATTCTTCTATTATAATATATTACATTTTTTAACAAAAAAAATAAGTTACTCCTTTTTTTGATAACCATATTATTGACACGAAATATTTACTAATTTCACCAATAACTAATTAATCATTGTTTAGAAATTTCACCAATCACTTTCAATAAGATTTACTTATATGAATATTTATCTAGGATTTTGGAATAATTTTTTTTGTCTAAAAATTGAGCCAATTTAATTTTAGTCTCTCAATTTTTTTATTTTAATCCTCCAGATTTACATAATACTTTTTTTAATCCTTCCTTAAATGTTGTTAATTTTTGTTTTTAAAATATATCATTTCAGCATTCAAATCACTATTAATTTTACTAAACTGGAATTTTTTTAATTTAAAATTAATTATTTTAAAAATAAATAAAATGTCAAAATTTTACAGTAATTCTTTTTACCATTCACCTCAACCGCATATAGAATATGCATGTTCTGAAAACTATTGAAGACAGGCATGTTGTTCTGGAAACTGTTTATGCAGTGCCAAGTTGTGGACAGGCGCATTGAAGAGGGAGCAATTTGGTGAGAGGCGAAAAGTCTAGACGCAAACCATACTGTATATTCTTTGTATTTTCAATTTTTTTTGAGAACTGCAAGGGGTTTGGCGTCGTATGCTGTTTAAGAGTGAAAAAGGTTCGTATAAACAAGTTACACAATCGAATGATAAACGAGAAAGAGAAGGAAAACCGCAAAAAAAAAAAAATGAAAAGGGATCAAATATTCAAAACAGAAACCAACACAAAAGAAAATCATTACTAAAAGGGAAACGAAAACAAATTTTTTTTTTTTGAAGAGAAACAAAAATTAAAATTGAGTACTTCTGAAACTTTTATATCGATCAAGCAATTTACAACGGAAAATGAAAAATTTTAAGTGTAAAAATTAATTTTTATCCTAAAATAATTCATATTTTAAATTAAAAAATCTATGCATAAAATTAATGGTAATTTAAATGTTAAGATAGTTTATTTTAATAGTAAAAATTAACAACGTTTAAGAAAAGGTTAAAATTAGATATTATATAAATTTGGAAGATTAAAATAAGAAGTTTTTTTTAAGGGATTATAATTAAATTGGGTCCATTTTTGAAGGAAAACAAAAATATATTTAACTTTTGAGAATATTTGATTATAATAATATATTTTTGGATATATATATATATATATATATATATATTGCAAAATATCTTTTATTAAAATAACATCATTAGATATATTTCTTTATTCAAATCTTATTATAAATATGAAATTAATTCAACCTTTTATGATCTAATTACTTTTTAAAAATAAAAAAAATTATATATATAATATTTGTATTTGATAAAATTTAAATTATTTTAAAAAGTTGATAACTTATAGTTAAAATTATTTAAAAATGAAATTCAACAAAAAAAATAAATAAAGAGAAAAGTTACCTTATAATTAAAAAGAATAAAATTATATTATTTCATTTATTAAAAAGTATATTATCAAATACTACTAAATTATATAATTAAAACAGATTTTAATAATATTATTAAAATTAACAAAGTCAAGAAATAATGAAATACAAAAAGAAAGAGGAAATGAGAGAGAGAGAGATGAGGAGGGAGGGGGAGGGAGGGAGAGAGAGGGGGATGAGGGGAAGAAAAGAGGGAGGGGAAGGGGTAGGGAGAGTGAGTGAGAGAGAGAGAGGGGGGGGGGGGGA